CACTAGAGATCCTGGTTCGAATCCAGGCTCTGTCGCAGCCGGCCGCGACCGGGAGACTCATGGGCAGCGCACAATTGCGTTGTCCAGGGTAGGGGAGGGAATGGCCGGCAGGGATGTAGCTCAGTTGATAGAGCATGGCGTTTGCAACGCCAGGGTTGTGGGTTCGATTCCCACGGGGGACCAGTATGAAAAAAATATATATATATGTATTCACTAACTGTAAGTCGCTCTGGATAAGAGCGTCTGCTAAATGACTAAAATGTAAATGTAAAATGAATGACTGGTAGTCTATGACAGAGTATCTGTTAATAAACCTGTTGTTGTTTGTGAAGATATTGGAAGATTTCTCAATATAATTTACCAAATGTTTTCTACTAAAAATCTCTCATCAGTATTGCATCCTATGTGGTAGGACCCTCCTGCAAGGTTATGTGGAAAGGGTCTGCAACACGTGGACTCATTACTGGTGTCCCTCAGGGCTCTGTACTAGGTCCACTTTTGTTTGCCAAGTCACTTTGTTTTGGCAAGTGACAATAACAGCTGTAAACTTTGCTTTTATGGTTAGTAAATGCATGCAAAGTTGACCAAAATGGCAAAAGTGAGACATGCTTTGATTTGTAAGTCCATTTAGTAGTGCTGGGGGGGGGGGGGGGGGTTACATATCGGGATATTATTTTTGACAATATATCGTATCGTTCTGACAATATTACTATATTATTTTTGCGCTAGTTGGCTGTGCCTGCACCAAAACAACAGTATCTTCCCTTCAAAGCTTGTTCTCCATCTTCTTTTTAAATAGGGAGTCAATTTGTTTTCAGCACTTTTATTTCCATGACTGATTAAAACTTGTTTTCTCATGGCTCTCTCTTGTCCCTCTGCAGCAGACATATGGTGAGCAAAATGTTTGGAACATCGAATCACAATAAAATCACAGCATCGAATCGCAATACATATCGTATCGGCACCTAAGTATCGTAATAATATCATATTGTGAGGTCCCTGGCAATAAAACATATTGGATGATTCTAACTTCATCAGTTGCATACCAATATGACATTTACATATTCAGGTGTGTGAATTAATTTGCACAAATCTAACTTACATTTAAGCACTGCAAAGTACCTAAGCAATCTGAAAATCTTCTCAGACACCTGGCTGATGGCTCCATGGTAACCAAGCCAGACATATTGAGTAGTTGGAGTGGTTTTCAAAGCATTTATTTATTCAAAGTAAGTGTCAGTAAGTATTAGTCTCGGAGTGGCTCAATTCACAGGTTCTTCAATGTTATTTTTAATGTTCAACTTTTAACATCAGAGCAACACAACCAACATGCTGCTTGATAATACAAAATACTATACAACGGTATTTTCATTATCAAGTTCATCCTGTCATAATCTAATAGACAACATAACTTGTTGTAAAATTACATCGAAAATGTTCAAGCTTGGACTATTTTTTACAGCAAAATGACAAAGTATTAATTTTACTTGTTAGAACACAACATATAAAGAAACACAAATCTAGACAATATTACATTTCGCTTTAACATTTATGAGTATCGATTCAAATTGGAGTCGTTGTGTAATGGGATTACAACATTTAACAGTTGCTCTTCTTGAGGATTATAAATACCTCATTCAAAAATATTTCTATACACATCATAAATTACATTCAATCTCTTGAGCTGCATAAGCTATATGTACAGAAAAATGTCTTAGGGAAATCTTTAAAACATTTGCAAACAAATTGAACATCTGTCTCATTCATAAGGATATTGACACCACAATTCATTCAGTAATTCTGCGGCATAAATTCTTACGTCTGAATCGTCTCCTTAGACACTACAATCTATTCATATTGACACCACAATCTATTCATATTGACACCACAATCTATTCAGTAAATAGTATTGACACCACAATCCATTCAGTAAAGGATATTTACACCACAATCTATTCATATTGACACCACAATCTATTCAGTAAATAATATTGACACCACAATCTATTCAGTAAATAATATTGACACCACAATCTATTCATATTGACACCACAATCTATTCAGTAAATAGTATTGACACCACTATCCATTCAGTAAAGTATATTGACACCACAATCTATTCATATTGACACCACAATCCATTCAGTAAAGAATATTGACACCACAATCTATTCATATTGACACCACAATCTATTCAGTAAAGTCTATTGACACCACAATCTATTCAGTAAAGTATATTGACACCACAATCTATTCATATTGACACCACAATTCATTCAGTAAAGTATATTGACACCACAATCTATTCATATTGACACCACAATCTATTCAGTAAATCATATTGACACCACAATCTATTCAGTAAATCATATTGACACCAAAATCTTTTCATATTGGGGCCGATTCCGACCCGATTTAATCGCGTGTAAATGGAATGTAATTACCTTTTTATGCACTGTTCTCTCTATGCGTATTCTGACCTTGAACTTAAGCATGAGAATAGCATGCTATTCACCGACTATTCGTTTGAGGTGGAGATTGAATAAATGATTCCACCACCTTTACGTGAGAGGAAACCATGAATAAGGTCTAGCGAACCCACCGGTTCCAAGTGGAAAAAGCATCTACTTTATTTTTTCCGCTAGAAATAACAGCATTCTCCATGCACTGTTATTTACAGCTTGATAAGAGCTATTAAGAAGAGCTAGATAAATTAGTATTCCGTTTGGATAAGGGAATTATGAATATTATAAAAACTTATTTTACATATATTTTACCTTATAATCGCTGGAGACAAATGTGAAACCAGTCGTATGGCAGCAAACTGAAGCATATCAACATATCAACATACCCACAGTAAAGTTGATGAAATGCTGTGCCATTATGCAGAATTTAAATTGTACAGCATTATAACTTGCAGGGATGGGTACTCTCTAATGTCTTAATCATAGGCTACCCCTGACTTTCCCTGTTTCCTATTTCTATCATGTTAAATATTAGCCACTATCAGTATCGACCATCAGTAGGCCTAATAACAACACAATTTTCTGAATGAATCAAACCACCGTTTTCTTTCTTTCTTGCCTAAAGGCTCTCCAAACCTGTTTTTTATGATTCATAAATATTCTCCTAAACCTAAATAATCTACAAGATTAGAGTATTTTTAAATCCACCAATTGGTGCTGAAACGGAGACAAATATGCATATATTTAGATGGCTTTCTTTCATCGATCCCTAATATTCTGAACCTGTTCTCTTGATATATTCTAGTGAGTCTGTCAATGAAATTCTAACTAAAAGGTACACCTTATTTAAATGTACTGAAAACCCTATTGAATGAAAATTCCCCAAGAAAATGTTGGCCAGCAAGTAGAAGGGTTTTCAGCGGCTGAATTACATTTATTCAGAGCACGCAAGGTAGCCACACCTGCAGCGCGCGTTACGCGACTGAATAAGGTAAGTCTGAATACCAAATACTGAGAAGTACGTAGGACAGGCATAAATTCTTACGTCTGAATCGGCTCCTTAGACACTACAATCTATTCATATTGACACCACAATCTATTCATATTGACACCACAATCTATTCATATTGACACCACAATCTATTCAGTAAATAGTATTGACACCACAATCCATTCAGTAAAGGATATTTACACCACAATCTATTCATATTGACACCACAATCTATTCAGTAAATAATATTGACACCACAATCCATTCAGCAAAGCATATCCATTCAGTAAAGTATTTCCCTCATTAAAATGCAAATCAATTTATAACATTTTTGACATGCGTTTTTCTGGATTTTGTTGTTGTTATTCTGTCTCTCACTGTTCAAATAAACCTACCATTAAAATTATAGACTGATCATTTCTTTGTCAGTGGGCAAACATACAAAATCAGCAGGGGATCAAATACTTTTTTCCCTCACTGTACCCTGCGTAAGGGCTGTTCTTACGCACAAAACGAAGCGGAGTGCCTGGATACAGCCCTTAGCAGTGGTATATTGGCCATATACCACAAACCCCCAAGGTGCCTTATTGCTATTATAAGCCAGTTACTAACATAAATGTAACAGTAAACAAGTAGTTCTGTGTCATACATGTGGTATATTGTCTGATATACACACTGCAAAAATGTTCATTGATATGTACAGGTAACTGACAAAATAATGGAAACACTTGAGTAAATGAGGGATACAACGTATATTGAAAGCAGATGCTTCCACACAGGTGTGGTTCCTGAGTTAATTAAGCAATTAACATCCCATCATGCTTAGGGTCATGTATAAAAATGCTGGGCAGGCCATTATTTTGCCTGCCATGGCTAGGCCCCTTTAGGATGACAATGCCCCCATCCACAGGGCATGAATGGTCACTGAATGGTTTAATGAGCATGAAAACGATGTTAACCATATGCCATGGCCGTCTCAGTCACCAGATCTCAACCCAATTGAACACTTATGGGAGATTCTTGAGCGGCGCCTGAGACAGCGCTTTCCACCACCATCAACAAAAACACCAACTGATGGAATCTTTTGTGGAAAGATGGTGTCGCATCCCTCCAATACTGTTCCAGACATGTGTAGAATCTATGCCAAGGCGCATTGAAGCTGTTCCGGCTCGTGGTGGTCCAACGCCCTATTAAGACGCTTTATGTTGGTGTTTCCTTTATTTTGGCAGTTACATTCTACCAATGACTACCAGTGACTGTAATTAGCTCAGAAATATATTGTTTTGTCATGAATCCGTACTCATTCAGGTACAGCTGTCAGCTGCATTGGTGCCAACCTCATCCCACTTGATCCCCAAATGTTTTTTTGGTTGACTTCTCAGAGAGGGACTCTATCTCAATAGTATTTTCTTGATTACTCTCTCCTGACGTCCTTCTCAGAATTAATTAGAGGATGAGGTCGAAGGGGAGGTAATTGATAGATTTCAGATAAGCCTTCCTTTCAGTGCTCCGGGCCATAAGGTGCTTCCTCTTTCAAACTCCAACTACATGTAATTATGGTCAATTATTGTAGTGGTTGAGGACTTATGGGCCTGCCGCAACGGCCAGCTCTCCTGTGGCATCTTGTTCCCCAGGACCACCGGGATGTCGCCCAGGGTGGAGAAGGTGTTCACACGGTGCAGTCGCTGGGACGTCACGAGGCTGCTGCTGTTACCCCCTGGCCCCCGAACCCCCTCTCCTCTGTGACGGGGGGAGAGGTCACGATGACAAAGGCAGGACAGGAACTTTTCATGGAGCGAGGCGTAGATAAATGGGTTGTAGCACGCCGAGCTCATGGCGAACAGGTGGCACGACACTTGGATCACGTTGACGTGGCTCTTGCCCAGGATGGTGAAGTCAGTATCCAGGTCGCGGATGAGATTGACCACCTGAAGAGGGAGCCAGGAGAAGGCAAAGCAGAGCACGGACACAAGCAGGAGGCAGAATGTTTTTCTTCTCTTTCGCCCCCAGTTCATTTGAACTGCCGCCATCAAACCAGAAATGTTCCTTTGTCTCAAGTGGTAGGAGATAGCGAGGTAGGATGCAGACACAGCGGCGAGTGGCACAAAGTAGGAGAAGAGCAGGACAAAGCAGGAGTAGACGATGCGTCCCCGTTCCTGGCCATGCCAGAACTCCTCGCAGACGACCATGTGGAGACCGGTGGCGCTCAGGTCCAGGTAGCCTGTGTGGAGAGCCGTGGGAGTGGAAAGTGCAAGGCTACACAACCAGATGACAGCTACCAAACCCCAGCAGAACTGGCAACCCACCCGCCTGCGAATGGGATAGGCCACAACGACGTACCGGTCCACTGCGATGGCTGTGAGGGACAAGACGGCGGCGAAAACCGTCGCCGACTGCATCAAGGTGACAAAGTGGCACATGAAGCGTCCGAAGAGCCACCCTCGCTTGTCGAAGGCATAGGAGGCCGTCAGGGGCACACAGAAGATGCACATGACCAAATCGACCAGCGCCAAGTTGCCGATCAAGAAGTTGGTGGTGTTGTGTCTCTTCTTGTTGAGGCCGATGAGGAAGAGCAGCAGGAGGTTGCCAGAGCAGGCGACCAGGACCACCATGGAGTAGAGAGGGATGAATAGGGGCTTCAGGTCAAATAGGAGGTCCAACCCAGTGAAGGAGGAGGAGGAGGATGAGGAGTAGGCCGGGAGAGATGTGTTCTCTACCCAAGAGCAGTTCAGAGAAAACTCCCTGTTGTCCATCACTGTAACACACAACAGAACAGGGAATACATCAGAGAAAACAACATCATGGAAAACATAATCAGAGAAAACAACATCAGCGAAAACAACATCAGGGAAAACATAATCAGGGAAAACAACATCAGGGAAAACAACATCAGGGAAAACAACATCAGGGAAAACATCATCAGGGAAAACAACATCAGGGAAAACATCATCAGGGAAAACAACATCAGGGAAAACAACATCAGGGAAAACAACATCAGGGAAAACAACATCAGGGAAAACAACATCAGGGAAAACAACTTCAGAGAAAACAACATCAGGGAAAACATCATCAGGGAAAACAACATCAGGGAAAACAACATCAGGGAAAACATCATCAGGGAAAACAACATCAGGGAAAACAACATCAGGGAAAACAACATCAGGAAAAAACAACATCAGGGAAACAATCAGGAAAACACATCAGGGAAAACACATCAGGGAAAACAACATCAGGGAAAACAACATCAGGGAAAACAACATCAGGGAAAACAACATCAGGGAAAACAACATCAGGGAAAACACATCAGGGAAAACAACATCAGGGAAAACACATCAGGAAAACAACATCAGGGAAAACAACATCAGGGAAAACAACATCAGGGAAAACAACTTCAGGGAAAACAACATCAGGGAAAACATCATCAGGGAAAACAACATCAGGGAAAACAACATCAGGGAAAACAACTTCAGAGAAAACAACATCAGGGAAAACATCATCAGGGAAAACATCATCAGGGAAAACAACATCAGGGAAAACATCATCAGGGAAAACATCATCAGGGAAAACAACATCAGGGAAAACATCATCAGGGAAAACATCATCAGGGAAAACAACATCAGGGAAAACATCATCAGGGAAAACATCATCAGGGAAAACATAATCAGTGAAAACAATATCAGGGAAAACAACATCAGAGAAAACATAATCAGTGAAAACAATATCAGGCTAAATCGTACTACAATAAAGCAATGCAGCTCAGCAAAAGGAGATACCTAAAGGTGAAGTTGCATTTTACACTTGAATGAATGTTAAGGGGTACTTTGCCTGTCAAATCGTGTATTATCAATGGTGTAATCTCATTCATTGTGGATTTCATCCCCTCATCATAGTCTCTCATAGCATGGAAAAGTTCTGAATAATGATATTAAATAGGCTAATTATCATCTTCCATATTCAACAACAACTACTGAAATATCAGTCGGGATAACATTTGAAAATGAACTATGCCTCCTCAACACTTTGCCTCTCATTTGCAGGTTAAGTGATTAGTCTATTGTTGAAATGTGAAATGATGGAGACTTGTTGGTATTCAGAGATTTTTCTGAATAGAGTTCATGTGCATTTTTGACATTTTAGCAGACGCTTTTATCCAGAGCAATTAGGGTTAAGGGCCTTGCTCAAGGGCACCTCGGCCGATTTTTTTCTTCATATTGGCACCAGCAACTTTTCGGTTACTGGCCTAACGCCCTTAACTGCTGGGCTACCTGCCGCCCCATTTGGATTGACCTGATCTGACAATGAGGTGCACTTTGCCCTGGACAACATCAGTCTTATGTGGTAATACATTCAGAACTTTGTCTATTCTACATTTCCCCCTCTATCCTTTGCTATTGTGAGGAGAGAGAACATGCCCGCCATTACAGAAATGGAAATGTTACATTCAAAAGGCCACAGGTACATTCAATTTAATGTTGGGGGTGGGGGGAGGGTGCAGACAGGACAAGTTCCAAATTAAGGGAAAATCACAGCCAACGGTATTAGCATATGTTCTGAAACTGATCTGGATTATTAAAAAATAAGATTAAATCATGTTCAGATTTGACACAGATAGCCACAATGTGTGTGTATTTTGGTCACGGCTGAACAGATTCTCCAAATGACAATATGGGTAATTAATACAAGTAGGACAACTGACTGTGCTCATAGATATGATATGATATATGAGTCAAACTGTATTCCTGAGCTTGGTACTGCAGAAACGTGAGTCTGAGGTGATTGGGTTCTGTGTGGACCACAGGTGGACCATAGTGTGAATATTCATCATGTTAGCCTAATCCATTCTCAAAAAGACAGATACCAGATAAGTCCTTTACATAATAAATGCACCTGTGAGGAGAACCAAATCATTCATGATTTCATAAATATCAGGATTGTACGTGACTCAAGAGTATCACGAATGAATCAATGAATCAATGAAGGGACGGATGAATGAATAAATGGTTGGATGAATTAATGGATGAATTAATGAATGAATTAATGAATAGTTTTAGACGAGTAGCTCTTTCGCGACTAGAGTTACTGCCCATGCATACTTGTCTACCAACATAGCTACTTCTAGGAAGACTGTACGAATCATAAAGTCGGTGCCTTTGGCTATTGTTATTTTTCCAGTGGAAAAACTTTTAATGCTCACTCACCTGACTGATAAATTGGCTTGAATTTCAAACATTGAAATCAGTTGACACGCAAATAAGATGTTTTCTGTATCATACTGTATAGCGGTCTTGTATCAAATCAACTACACGGTCTGTGGTCATAATTTGAAATAAATGTATTCCAGAATGTCGATCATCTAGTATACAATGTAATAATGATATTACGCACAGCATGCACACTTAATGCCAAAGAAAAGTCATAATTTAACTTATTTCACAATCCACATTTTAAATATCCTATATTCGTTAATTTCCCTTTGGAAATACACAAGCAGCATTTATATCAATATATTACAAAAACACATTGAATATATTTACCTTTTTTTGTAGGTGAACAACTTCAACAGAGATCCAAGAGAGATTCTTCAAAGCAACTCTTGTGAGAAGGATATCTGCCCAGTGTTCATCAGTTCCTTCCGTCAACCTGTCTCCCTTCAAGTAGTCCACCTTTTCACTGCTGTATCTGAATTAGGAGCAATCTGACTGGTGGGGGTGGTGGGGGGGGGGGGGGGGGGGGTGGGACCTCTAACACTGAGGTCCAGTTCCATGGCATTGACAGCCGTATGATTTCATTCGCTCGAGTCGCCACTGCTGACTACTATCAACTGAAGTACACTAGGAAATGTATATAATTCTGAATGTCACTCACTACAAGTTCTCAGTCAAGATATTATTTGGCTGTGCTGATTTATTTATATCTAAAGTATTGTGTGGATCACAATGCTGCCATCTAGCGGAGGCTATGCAGTAGAGGCTTTACATTAGAAGCTATACAGTAGAGGCTATCAGTAGAGGCTATACAGTAGAGGCTATCAGTAGAGGCTATACAGTAGAGGCTATCAGTAGAGGCTATCAGTAGAGGCTATACAGTAGAGGCTATACAGTAGAGGCTATCAGTAGAGGCTATACAGTAGAGATTATACAGTAGAGGCTATCAGTAGAGGCTATCAGTAGAGGCTATACAGTAGAGGCTATACAGTAGAGGCTATCAGTAGAAGCTATCAGTAGAGGCTATACAGTAGAGGCTATCAGTAGAGGCTATACAGTAGAGACTATACAGTAGAGGCTATCAGTAGAGGCTATACAGTAGAGGCTATCAGTAGAGTCTATACAGTAGAGGCTATCAGTAGAGGCTATCAGTAGAGGCTATACAGTAGAGGCTATCAGTAGAGGCTATACAGTAGAGGCTTTACATTAGAAGCTATACAGTAGAAGCTATCAGTAGAGGCTATACAGTAGAGGCTATACAGTAGAGGCTATCAGTAGAGGCTATACAGTAGAGGCTATACAGTAGAGGCTATCAGTAGAGGCTATACAGTAGAGATTATACAGTAGAGGCTATCAGTAGAGGCTATCAGTAGAGGCTATACAGTAGAGGCTATCAGTAGAGGCTATCAGTAGAGGCTATACAGTAGAGGCTATCAGTAGAGGCTATACAGTAGAGATTATACAGTAGAGGCTATCAGTAGAGGCTATACAGTAGAGGCTATACAGTAGAGGCTATACAGTAGAGGCTATACAGTAGAGGCTATACAGTAGAGACTATCAGTAGAGGCTATCAGTAGAGGCTATACAGTAGAGTCTATACAGTAGAGTCTATACAGTAGAGGCTATCAGTAGAGGCTATCAGTAGAGGCTATCAGTAGAGGCTATACAGTAGAGGCTATCAGTAGAGGCTATACAGTAGAGGCTATACAGTAGAGGCTATCAGTAGAGGCTATCAGTAGAGGCTATCAGTAGAGGCTATCAGTAGAGGCTATACAGTAGAGGCTATACAGTAGAGGCTATCCAGTAGAGGCTATCAGTAGAGGCTATACAGTAGAGGCTATCAGTAGAGGCTATCAGTAGAGGCTATACAGTAGAGGCTATACAGTAGAGGCTATCAGTAGAGGCTATACAGTAGAGGATATCAGTAGAGGATATACAGTAGAGGATATACAGTACCATGTAGTGTACATGTCCAGTGATTTGAGGGAGTACTTTCTGAACGTGAAAGAAAGACAGGGTTAGAGAAATACTTTTTTCAAGTTCATTAGCTTTGTTTCAAAAGCTTCCTTCATAAAATACTTACAGAACCTCAAATATCTAGCACAGTACATCACACATGGTAATGAACCTAGTATATTTATCCCACATGGTAATGAACCTAGTATATTTATCCCACATGGTAATGAACCTAGTATATTTATCACCCATGGTAATGAACGTAGTATATTTATCACCCATGGTAATGAACGTAGTATATTTATCATACACATGGTAATGAACCTAGTATATTTATCACACATGGTAATGAACCTAGTATATTTATCACACATGTTAATGAACATAGTATATTTATCATACACATGGTAATGAACATAGTATTTTTATCATACATGATAATGACTGTAGTATATTTATCATACATGGTAATGAACATAGTATATTTATCACACATGATAATGAACATAGTATATTTATCATACACATGGTAATGAACATAGTATATTTATCATACATGATAATGACTGTAGAATATTTATCACACATGGTAATGAACCTAGTATATTTATCATACATGGTAATGAACATATAGTAGCTACATTTATAACGATTTTATCTGAGCTATTAATACTTTTGATTGGACCGGTATCTTAAAAGCAGTGCCAAAGCTCGTCCCAACATTATAGACCATATGTGGTGCAACATAGTGTAGTAGCCTAACAAAATGCAACCAGGGTAGTTTCGGCTATTTCCCCAACAATTAACTGCTTTTATTTAACCATATCATAAAATCAACAATATTTCATAAAGGTAACATGACAAACAATGGACCGTTGCAATATTTGTAATGATATGTCACCGAATTCTTTCTCCTCAATAATAAACAGACAAACAAACATAACCTAATAATGACAGTATAGGAAATCCAACCATGTTCCTGTCCAGTAATAACACATGATAACATATAAAAAATGTCTGCAGTGTACAGGTAGTTATTTGTCAGGTATGGGACTCCTGTCCTCTTCAGGGTTCTGAGTGGCTGCCTCAGGTCCGCTCTGTGATTGGTCCGTGGAGGTCTACTCTCGGCTCAGTGACAGCAGGAGAAACTCCAGCTCCTCAGCGCTGATGGCCACTTTCTCAGGTACCAGCCAACGCTTTAGATGCTCCAGGGTACTGGGGAGAAAGGGAAATGATCCCACATCCTATCATTACACAAAGAGGCAAGGTTGACAACAGAACAATCAGTGGACCTGTAAGAAACTTTACACGCTCAGCCTTCAAAGCTGCCCAGAGATAGTGAGTTAATAGCCCTACTTCTGCCTGTACAACAAACGATGCTCTTCTGCTCACTTCTGATCTAGCTCTTCCCCCCTGAAAGAGTTCAGAGCGTCGTGCAGGAAATCTATCCCAGGATTCCGTTTTTGGCCTGAGATAGGGAGCGCAGCATCTCCCTGGACGTCACCTCAGCAGACTGGCCCTTTATTCTCTTCAGACGGTTCTCTGAAAGACAGGATTTATATTCAACTTCAATAGTATGTTAAGTAATATGGGACCTTGATTTCTGGCTCTCACAATCCATTCCAAATAGCCAAGTAAAAATTAGACTTTGCAGTGTGTTGCTAGGGGAGACTAGGATCAACAGTAAAACCCGTGTTTGGATACTTTCCCAATTCATTCTCTTTCTGGACATAAAACTGATGCATGAACTTAACATTTACTACTACTGCTTACACCTATCCAACATAGAGAAAGGGAAGAAGGCTGACCCTCTTAGCTACAGTAAAGCAGTGGTGATGGTCACCAACACTGGCCCTAGGCATCTTTTCTTCCATACTAGCAAGGACCAGGGTTGATGGATAGAGGGCTGTTGCGGTGACCGTATTACCGCCACACCTGCAGTCATGAGTCATGACTGCAGTAAAATTCTACATGACAGTTGAGTCACCGTAATCTCATTTTTACATTTACATTTTAGTCATTTAGCAGACGCTCTTATCCAGAGCGACTTACAGTTAGCACATACATTATTTTTTATCGAACCCACAACCCTGGAGTTGCAAACGCCATGCTCTACCAACTGAGCTACATCCCCTGCCGGCCATTCCCTCCACTACCCTGGACGACGCTGGGCCAATTGTGCGCCTCTACCAACTGAGCTACATCCCCTGCCGGCCATTCCCTCTCCTACCCTGGACGACGCAGGGCCAATTGTGCGCCGCCCCATGGGTCTCCCGGTCGCGGCCGGTTACGACAAAGCCTGGATCTCCTCTTATGCACTCTGGACATGTGTTAGTAGTAGCCTACCCAACTCGCTAACGATCATCAGGTCGCTAATGGCCTGGTACTCAGAGCTCTATTGTCCCACTAACCACTCTGACATTAATGCAAATGCAATCGAAAATCACATCAAACACTTATTATCAAAACAGTATATGGTTTTAAAACTCACCTCACTGTGATTGATCAATCTGAGAAAGAAGTTCAACAATAGGTTGAAACTGCTCTCCCGAGTGGCGCAGTGGTCTAAGGCACTGCATCGCAGTGCTAGCTGTGCCACTAGAGATCATGGTTCAAATCCAGGCTCTGTCGTAGCCGGCCGCGACCGGGAGACCCATGGGGCGGCGCACAATTGGCCCAGCGTCGTCCAGGGTAGGGGAGGGAATGGCCGGCAGGGATGTAGCTCAGTTGGTAGAGCATGGCGTTTGCAACGCCAGGGTTGTGGGTTCGATTCCCACGGGGGCCCAGTATAAAAAAAAGTATAATAATGTATGCACTTACTAACTGTAAATCGCTCTGGATAAGAGCTGCTAAATTACAAAAAAAACTAAAATAAAAAAAAACTGAGTGGAAAACATGGAGCCAAATAACTCTAAGACCTGTTTCAAATGATCACTTTTACGCTCAACATAGCCACTTCATTTGCGCGCACTCTCGCTCCAGAATGGGAAAAATATAGATTATATTTTATTCAGCTAAGTTAAAATATATTCTTCTTACTATAAAATCCTATAATATAAAATAATGGCAAGGACTTATAAGCAGATCTTGTCTGCTAAATGAACAAGCCTACAGCCTATGGCATGGCGCATAGCCAGATAACATACAGTAGGCCAACTCATATTCTGTTCTTCTGAAAAAATAAATAATCATATCATGTTTCTTTAGACCTGACTAACATAAATAATGCATTTAATGATTTATTATACTTTTTTAAATGTAGATGTTCCAAAGACGCGCATCAGAAGCTTGTATGAGTAGAGCCTGGAGAAATTAAACATGTTTATGTTAATTAATGGTCAATTACCGTGAGACTGAAAGTATTGTTGGCATCAACTGGGCCATAGATAAGGGTGAAGGGACACACATGAGCCATGACAGAAGGTTGATATTAGATTGACTTTACCTAAACTAGCAATGTAGACATCCGAGTCTTCCATAGGTTCCCAGACGCTGTGAGAGGAGGAAATCGTAGACATGCCATTAGATTGCAGGCCATTGCCAACATGTGAAGGTTGGAATGAATCTGTGAACAGAGCAGCATCATCCTCTCCTTGACCTTGATTTTCCTCCTGCACGTCAGGCAGGCTCCAGCAGATCTCTGACCGCAGATCTCTGACCGCAGATCTCTGCTGGGCCGAGCCTCGTGACTCTCGAAATCGTCAATCACCTTCATGTAGATGCAGTGGTCTGTTGAGACAAGCATCATCAACAACATAGTCAGTGGTGTAAAGTACTTAAGTAAAAAATACTTTCAAGTATAATATAATAATATAATATGCCATTTACAGTGGGGGAAAAAGTATTTAGTCAGCCACCAATTGTGCAAGTTCTCCCACTTAAAAAGATGAGAGAGGCCTGTAATTTTCATCATAGGTACACGTCAACTATGACAGACAAAATGAGGAAAAAAATTCAGAAAATCACATTGTAGGATTTTTAATGAATTTATTTGCAAATTATGGTGGAAAATAAGTATTTGGTCAATAACAAAAGTTTCTCAATACTTTTATATACCCTTTGTTGGCAATGACACAGGTCAAACGTTTTCTGTAAGTCTTCACAAGGTTTTCACACACTGTTGCTGGTATTTTGGCCCATTCCTCCATGCAGATCTCCTCTAGAGCAGTGATGTTTTGGGGCTGTCGCTGGGCAACACGGACTTTCAACTCCCTCCAAAGATTTATTTTCTATGGGGTTGAGATCTGTAGACTGGCTAGGCCACTCCAGGACCTTGAAATGCTTCTTACGAAGCCACTCCTTCGTTGCCCGGGCAGTGTGTTTGGGATCATTGTCATGCTGAAAGACCCAGCCACGTTTCATCTTCAATGCCCTTGCTGATGGAAGGAGGTTTTCACTCAAAATCTCACGATACATGGCCCCATTCATTCTTTCCTTTACACGGATCAGTCGTCCTGATCCGAAAAACAGCCCCAAAGCATGATGTTTCCACCCCCATGCTTCACAGTAGGTATGGTGTTCTTTGGATGCAACTCAGCATTCTTTGTCCTCCAAACACGACGAGTTGAGTTTTTACCAAAAATTTATATTTTGGTTTCATCTGACCATATGACATTCTCCCAATCCTCTTCTGGATCATCCAAATGCACTCTAGCAAACTTCAGACGGGCCTGGACATATACTGGCTTAAGCAGGGGGACACGTCTGGCACTGCAGGATTTGAGTCCCTGGCGGCGTAGTGTGTTACTGATGGTAGGCTTTGTTACTTTGGTCCCAGCTCTCTGCAGGTCATTCACTAGGTCCCCCCCGTGTGGTTCTGGGATTTTTGCTCACCGTTCTTGTGATCATTTTGACCCCACGGGGTGAGATCTTGCGTGGAGCCCCAGATCGAGGGAGATTATCAGTGGTCTTGTTTGTCTTCCATTTCCTAATAATTGCTCCCACAGTTGATTTCTTCAAACCAAGTTGCTTACCTATTGCAGATTCAGTCTTCCCAGCCTGGTGCAGGTCTACAATTTTGTTTCTGGTGTCCTTTGACAGCACTTTGGTCTTAGCCATAGTGGAGTTTGGAGTGTGACTGTTTGAGGTTGTGGACAGGTGTCTTTTATACTGATAACAAGTTCAAACAGGTGCCATTAATACAGGTAACGAGTGGAGGACAGAGGAGCCTCTTAAAGAAGAAGTTACAGGTCTGTGAGAGCCAGAAATCTTGCTTGTTTGTAGGTGACCAAATACTTATTTTCCACCATAATTTGCAAATAAATTCATTAAAAAATCCTACAATGTGATTTTCTGGATTTTGTTTCTTCTCAATTTGTCTGTCATAGTTGACGTGTACCTATGATGAAAATTACAGGCCTCTCTCATCTTTTTAAGTGGGAGAACTTGCACAATTGGTGGCTGACTAAATACTTTTTTCCCCCACTGTATATTTGATCAATTCCATTTACTTTTGGTACTTTTAGTAGTATATTTAAAACCAAATATTTTGAGACTTTTACTCAAGTAGTATTTTCACTGGAGTTATTTTCTATTAAGGTATCTTTACTTTTACTCAAGCATGACAATTTAGTACTTTTTCTACCACTGAACAAGTTCAACTCTTATGAACTGATAGCAAGCTCAATAATGAATTAAATGACAGCTAGCAAGAGCAATGCAATTAAGTTTGCAGGTATACCAAATCCAAGGTGTTGGTAAACTGTCCACCAAATTAGAAATGAGCTAAACTGCAATGAATCAGAATGTTTATATTTGTTAGCTAGGTGATTCTTTTAGATGCAGTTAGCTAGTTAATGCTAACGCCAACTTGGTTCGTTAGCTGCAACTAAAATAATAACCTTGTCATTATAATTTCAAATTATAACTGGTAAACATTCACTCTGCTAGTTTAACGTGTTTATTGGTGTCTTACCTTCGACTACAATTTAGAGCAGCTAAACCGTATTTCCCAGGTAGTAGTCTGATTGAGAGGGGGTCAGGTGCTTGTTTCCCTCGTTGAAGTGCGGATCAATATATAACGTTTTTGGCGTGCGTTTTTCTGTTTTTCTGTTTTTTGTTGTTGTTGTTCTGTCTCTCACTGTTCAAATAGACCTACCATTGGAGTTGTGGACTGGTCATTTCTTTGTGGCTGGGCGGGGGTGCGCGATCAGCGGGGGATCAGGTGCTTTTTTTCCCTCGCTGTGTGTGTGATATATATATATATATATAAACATGGGGATTGGAAGTGATGCAGACAATTACATTGATGGAAGTTGCAATCTATCTGCAATATTAAGCTGATCTACCCCAACAAAAAAATAATAATAAATAATAAAAAATAAACTGTCTGTCAAGTCATTCTGCGGTGCTATGGGTGCTCATTGGCTTTCATTTATGTAATCCCAATGTTATTGGCCAGCTCTGTGGACCAGGAAGTGTGTCCTACAGCTGGGTCCTACATGGTTGTCTCTAGTTACTACAGCCACAAAGTCAAAATTGGTTACATCTTAAAAATTAATGAAAACAAAAAGTAGCTTTTTGGTCTTAATTTAAGGTTAGGCATAAGGTTAGCAGTGTGGTTCGGGTTAGGTTTGACCGTCCTACAGTGGTTCGGGTTAGGTTTGAATATCCATACAGACTACCAAAAAAATACAAATGGAAAAACATTATTTTTCTTCTTCTGTTAAAACAAAACCTCCAAGGAGCCTGGGAGGGCGGCACACCATCCTTTTGCGTCCACATAGGAGACCCGATAGACCGTCCTGACTTTCGCCACCTCGACTTCCTTCGCCCTTACAAGGCATTTCAAGAACTCTGGATCGTGATCTCTAGCACAATTGCAGCACTGACCTTCTTCACTCCGTTCTTCAGTATACATCTTTCGTCTGCACACATTTGCAACATGGCCAAATCCTTTACAGTTCTTACAATGTAGTATTTGGGGGACGAATGGTCTCACTCCGTACCATACAGCGGAGGCTGCTGATGGGAGGACGGCTCATAGAAATGGTGAATGGAATGGCATCAAACACATGGAAACCATGTGCTTAATGTGCAGTGTATTTGATACCATTCCACCTCTTCCGCTCCAGCCATTACCACGAGCCCGCCCTTCCCAATTAAGATGCCACCTGTGGTACCTTATATACCCTATCTTTAAATGCATAGGGAGGTGTTCTTTGTAAAAAAAAAAAAATAGAACCAACAGACTTTCTTCCCTTGCTCCATTCTGGTCAGGTGACGGATACTAACCACACCTGGGATTCTCTTCCTTAGGTCTTTAACCTCAACTTCCATCGACACCCCGGAGATGACTCCCCTACCATGCGCCCTGCTCCAAAGTTCACTTCGGATGGAAAGATTATTGTGATTCCCACTGCACTTTCTTCCTCAAAAATACAATTAATAAGAACAATCCTCCTCCTGGTCACTTGAATTGACTCCACTTTTCTCAGCACCTGTTTGACCTTCCTCTAGACTAGGGTCAGACAGGCCCCAGGCAAAATTGGCTTTTTTGAAATAATTCATGAAAACAATCATTTGCTTTTTGGTCTTAATTGAAGGTTAGGCATAAGGTTAGCAGTGTGGTTAAGGTTAGGGTTAGGTTTAAAATCAGATTTTAAGAAGATCAATTGTAGAAATAGTTGGGGGGGTAGCCATAATTATGACTTTGTGGCCGTGATAACTAGTGAAGACCCCTTCCACTGCTGATGCCGAAGTCCAACATCGGCAGATGCGGTGGATTGAGATGCAGCCCATGCAAAAAAAAACATATCTCTATCTTCAACAGACAGATTTTGATTATGCCTTGAGCGGAGCATGAGGAGGGGCCTGTGGTCTAAGGCACTGCATCGCAGTGCTAGCTGTGCCACTAGAGATCCTGGTTCGAATCCAGGCTCTGTTGTAGCCGGCCGCAACCGGGAGACCAATGGGGCGGCGCACAATTGGCCCAGCGTCATCTAGGGTAGGGGAGGGAATGGCTGGCAGGGAGGTAGCTCAGTTGTTAGAGCATGGCGTTTGCAACGCCAGGGTTGTGGGTTCAATTCCCACGGGGGGCCAGTATAAAAATAAAATTAAAATGTATGCACTAACTGTAAGTCGCTCTGGATAAGAGCGTCTGCTAAATGACGTAAATGTAAATGTAAGTAAGTAAATTGATTTTGAAAATGATCCAAAATCAAATCAAATCAAATCAAATTTTATTGGTCACATGCGCCGAATACAACAGGTGCAGACATCACAGTGAAATGCTTACTTACAGCCCTTAACCAACAGTGCATTTATTAAAATAAAAAAAAGTAAAAATAAAACAACAACAAAAAAAGTGTTGAGAAAAAAAAGAGCAGAAGTAAAATAAAATAACAGTAGGGAGGCTATATATACAGGGGGGTACCGTTGCAGAGTCAATGTGCGGGGGCACCGGCTAGTTGAGGTAATATGTACATGTGGGTAGAGTTAAAGTGACTATGCATAAATAATTAACAGAGTAGCAGCAGCGTAAAAAAGGATGGGGTGGGGGGGCAGTGCAAATAGTCCGGGTAGCCATGATTAGCTGTTCAGGAGTCTTATGGCTTGGGGGTAGAATTTGTTGAGAAGTCTTTTGGACCTAGACTTGGCACTCCGGTACCGCTTGCCGTGCGGTAGCAGAGAGAACAGTCTATGACTAGGGTAGCTGGAGTCTTTGACAATTTTGAGGGCCTTCCTCTGACACCGCCTGGTATAGAGGTCCTGGAT